GTCCGTGCCATCGTGCTGCTCAAGGACGGCCCCAATGCCATAGCCCGACGCATCGGTAGTGACGCGCGTAGCTAGAAGCGGGTCGTAAATATGTAACACCTCGGCGGACAAGAGTGCCGCTTTGAGTGTCTCAAAAGAATGGCGCGCGTCGTCGTCGAAGTCAAAAGGCCGCTCCTCGCTTTGTAACTTGCTTAGGTTGGCCGCGATCTTCGAGTAACCCTTGATGAAGCGCTGATAATAACCGGCCAATTCGAGGAAGGATCGGACGTCCGTCACATTCTTCAGCTCGGGCCACTCCTGGATGGCTTGAATCTTGTCCGCCAACGGACGAATGCCTTCCGGAGAGACAAAATGACCCAAGTATTCAAGCTCTTGTCGGACAAACTCGCATTTGTCGCGGTTAGCTTTGTACCGGGCTGACCGAAGAGTCTCTAGAACACGGCGAAGGTGCTCGAGATGCTCCTCTAGAGTTCGGCTATAGAGGAGGATGTCGTCTAAGTAGACCAAAACGAAGCGGTCCAACATAGCGCGAAACTCGGTGGTCATGGCCACCTGAAAGGGGGTCGGGGCATTGGTGAGGCCAAAAGGCATAACTACCCACTCAAAATGCCCATATCGCGTCTTAAACGCGGTTTTGTACCGATCTTGCGGGCGGATGGAAATCTGATGGTAGCCCGACTTGAGGTCCAACTTCGAAAAGTACTTCGCGCCGCCCAACCGCTCAAGCAAATCGTCAATGCGAGGTAGAGGCCCCGCGTTCTTGATGGTTTGCGCGTTGAGGCGTCGGTAGTCAATGCAAAGTCGAAGGTCCTTGTTCTTCTTCCGAACGAAGAGAATGGGCGCACCGTAAGGTGAGCTGCTAGGGCCTATCCAACCCTTGTCGAGTAGATCGTCGAGTTGCGCACGGAGAACCGTGAGCTCCTCCTCGTACATGAGATAAATGCATCCTTTCGATGGCACGGCGCCGGCCTCAAGTATGATCTCGTGAGAGATTGGCCGGTCCGGCACTATACCGGAGGGTGTCTCAAAAACATCCTTGAACTCGTCTAACAACCGGGTCACACGGGGGTCGGAAGACACTTCTGTGGACGATGAATCGGTCGTCGGGACAGTTCGAAGCAAAGCGATGCCAATCTCTTCGACATGCTCGGAACGGCATGTGTCTCGAAAAGATTTGGCACTGACGACTTGGCACCTAATGGAAGAGCGAGGAGGAGGAATAGTACACGGGACCTCGGCGCAAGTTGCATCACGAATCGTGAGCGTGCGTCGATGGAAATTGACCGTGTGGTCCGCGCTAGAAAGCCAAGGCATCCCCAAAATGACATCGAAGTCGGTGTCCAACACGTCAAAAGTGACGGGTTCACATGCGTGCGGTGCAAAGTACACCGGGACAGCCGAGATGTAACGGTCTAAAAGTTGTTTCGTCTTACCGTCGGCAAGAGCAACCGTCGTCGGATGTGACTTCCTCCGTACTTGTGCGCCAAGGCCAGCCCGAGTCATGAAGGACTGGTTGATGAAGTTGCGAATTGCGCCGCAATCTAGCAAAGCGTTGCAGGCCGCTTGCTCAATCTGAATGCGAACGTAGAGCAACGGTGCGTTGTTTTCTTCGTACCGTTGCGAGACAAACTCGCGGGCCACCTTGGCAACGTAGCCAAGCATGTCCCCCACCGCGACTTCGTCTACCGTCGGYGAAGTTGGTGGTGCATGGAAGGAAAGATACTGGTGTGAGAGGGCGCATAGGGCTGCGCTTTGCGGCCCCGGAAGGTTGCCCGTCGTAGGGAGAGGAATCCAAGCGAAGTCCTCGGGCGTGAGCGGGTCCAAAGCCTCCTCGTTGAACACGCTTGCCGAATCCCTTGATGAAGACGAACTGGCGGAAGAACCTTCGGACGGTGAGAAAGCCTTGTCCTTGAGAAGCATCCAGTGAAGGAACGAGCCGGGCAGCGAAGTCTTCGAACGAACGTGGAAGACTCTCGACATCCGCATATGCCTCGGAAGAAAGGGCGGTCGTGCGCACAACCGCTTCCGATGGCGTCGAGGGAGGTGTCGAGTCACCCTCGGCGGCGCCTACTTTCCCTGACGGGGTTTCCCCTTGGTGGGGMAATKTGCAGCATCGTGGATGGTGYTGTTGCACCAAAGGCAGTAACGGTACTTGAGTCTCGTGCGATAAGAATACGCCGAGAGTCCGTATTGTGCCCAAGGTTCGTCGGCGGCTGATCCGGTGCTCGGTGTAGAGGTGGACTGAGTCTTCGTCTTGTCGCGGCCATGATTGTTGCGCGGCCGGCCACCATCCCGGGCAGCTGCCAACACTTCACCCTCGTTTGGTGTTGCAGCCTCGGTAGAAGTAATGCAAGCCACCTTTGGCTTGGGCTGGGTGCCGCTCGTCGTCGCGGAAGATCGGTCGGCGTTGCGGGCTTCGATATTTGTGAGAATGATCCGTGACGCTGTGCTGAAAAGCTTGTCAGATGTGTCGAGTGTCTCTGCAATCTGCGTCAGCGCGTTTTGCAGAGTTGGACACGAGCGCATGATAAACAAGTGCTTGATGGCGCGGAATGCGAGCGGCAGGTCAGGTGTGGAGGCGAGTCTTTGGAACTCGGTAATCCAGTCCTGACTGAGCAACATGTTCTGATGGAGCTTGTTGAGTTTGTCCATCGCTTGCAGGTCGRGCGGCTCCACTTGGAATCGCTTGTGCCAGGCGTCAGTCAACTCCTGCCAAGTGAGCTTGGTGTGCAGTTCCGACACTGGTACGCCGTGGCTGGTCAAGATGTTGTCCAGCCATGTTGACATGCACCACCAGATCGGTGGTACAAGCACGGATGTCGATCGTTGTTCGGGACATGGTGCATGTCGAGCCTGAGAGTAAACTGGCGCCACCACGGGATCGGTTCCGTCTTGGACTGATCGCAGAAAACTGGAATGTCATCCAGTTTGGGTGGGCGCCGGGAGGATGCGGCGGCGGGCGTCACGGTGGCAGCAGCCTGTACCTGCGTCTCCAACTGCAAGTTCGTTGCTTGCTGCGACGTCCGGAAGTCCTGATGCACACGCTTGATGTTGCTGACGTCATCCTCCAAAACTTGCACACGGGTGGTAAGGGTGGAAGGCCCTGCGGCTGCTACAGCAGCTGGCTGTTTCTCCAACGCCTRCAGCCGTGCGAGCATCTGGTCCACTGTCTGCTGCAGGTGAAGGATTTCCTCCCGCTGCAGAGTGCAGGTGGCCACGAGTTCGTGGGAGACCTGCGCAAGGGCTGACAGCCCTTTCTCAGTCTCCGGGGCCCCGTCTGCAGATGTCACTTCCACCCAATGTGCGGCCTCGTCGCCGATCACGGTCTCCCGCGTGAACAATCGTTCCCGCTGGCGTGACCGGTGTTCGGCTGCCGCCTGCAGGTCTGCCTCTTCTTGACGAAGTCGGTCCTGTTCCTCCTTCTGTCGCTTGGCCTCCTCCTCTTGTTC